TAAATGAAATAGATTATAGTTTATTTTATTTTTATTTTTTATTTATTTTTTATTTATTTAACAAGTACACTTACAATATACATATATGACATTGTCACAAAAACTTACACACTTTTATATTTCCTGATATGCATATCAATTACAAGTGTACATAACATTTCCAGACTGAGTCGTGCAACATAATTTAGAATTAATTTGAGGTAGGAAAAACATATAATCAGTGCAATAAAATGAGAAATAATTTAAGTAAACTATGTTACTAAATAGGTAAAAAAATCAAATGGAAAAAAAATAAAAGAAGTATGTACATTTTTAATTTAAGTATAAAATAGATTCTATTAAAAATATAATTTTTAACAGGAACTAATTAACTAGGCGATAAATGCCTAGTAAGTTTAATTTTGAAGGTCTTAAAAGTGTCGTGAAATATATCGATGCTAGGTATCGTTTTAGTTATTTCGTTATATTTGCCACATATACGAACAATAGGAGCATGATTCCCGAGATGAGAGGAAAGGGAGAGGAGAAATAAAGGGGGAGGGACAGAGGGAGCGGGTGTATCGCAATTATAAGGATTTTTGGGCGGTAATAAAAATAACCACCTCTACCAAATACCATACTTTACTCACCCAAACTCTTGCCAAACGTTTGCAAATCCAAGCCCTAGTTCAACCTATGACTAATAATTATTAACTTTTTTTGTAATAAATGGATTAAAACTGCCAAATTTCAGATTATTCAATCGTCAGAAGTAGATACGCATACATACATTTACTATTTAACACATAATACATTCTTACCAGCATATAGGCCAAGGTGATAAAAGCGTGTTCACAAAAACTAGCTTTGAGGCATAGGTATGCATTCTTAGATTTGCAATTACGCATTTAGTGTGGTAATAAGTAACAGACTTGGTAAATTTGATTTTAATAGATTTCAAAAGCACATTTCATCCGTGTTAATTGCAAAACCAACTGATTGATTTCATTAGTGTAAATATGTGGACGATTCGCACTTGATCGAAGTTCTGTTTAAATTGATCGAAGTTTAGTTTATTTGTAGTAGTCGCGTCGTAGTAAAGTACACGTCCCGTGAGTGCCGCGAGAGGCGTCAGAGGGAAATGGAATAGGTGTACGATATCTTGTTAATAACAACTCAAAATAATTAGAAACTGCAGTTGCCAAGCTGCCTGCCAAACATATCTGTGGGAAATATCACATCTACTATAAGCGAATCCTATGTTTGGATTTTTAAAAGGCTGTCATGAACATTGTTCTGAGCCACATGCATCCATCGACATTCCGCGTGTCTTTTGGTGCACTCCATTTAGAGGGCGCCGCCCTCAACTCTTTACAAGGCTGTCCCTTGAGAACCTTTCTTCTCCAATGGGATGTCAGTTTTTCAAATTATAAGATAGTTTTTATTATGGAATAATGGCGAAAAGCAAGCACACAGTCCATCTGATGTAAGTGGACGCTGTGGCTTATAGACATCTTCATCTATCCTGGATTAAGAATCAAAATGCATATGCTTTGCCACCCCTAGACTAATATGGAATGCTTAGTTTCGTTTACAGTGATTCTGCTGTAAATATCTTCATTACGAATTCCACTCACGTAGATAAATTTTAAGCACAGCCATCTCCATACTTCCGATAGTATTATAAATGAAATTGCAATTCGCTTCCAACATGCTTTCGTACTTTTTTCAATCAAATACGGATTATGTTCCCTTTGAATCGGATCCCGGACTTTTTGAAGTGGATGCCAACTGTTGCACGACAATTGAGGGCGTTCTATCCAAGAGCTGAATGAAACTAGTTTCATATATTTTACATTACCTCAATGGAGAGTCCTTCTCAGAAATAAAATATTTACAGAAGCTATAAAGCTATAAAGTCCTTTTTAACTCGACCCGCCTTTTATTTTAAAATGTATTTCAACATTGCAAAATAATTTACAATGCTTATTTTTTTTAAATAATAGGTATATGAAACTTTTCGAAACAGCATGAAAACGATCAACTCATTATGTTTTCGAAATATTTTCATCCTCTTGACATGATGTCTTCATTCACTGTTGAGCACGTATTTCGATCCCCGTCGACTCTTATTTTTATTTATTCGAAATATAATAAATATACACAAAAACGAAAATTTTCAACCGTCCAGCGAAAACACTCACGGCTTGATTGCTTGTGGTCTATGAAATATAAATTACTAATGGAAAATTTATAGACTTATTAACAAACCAACTTAATTGAATTGTCAATTGCAATATTAAGTGCTGATTTACCACATGCCATTAACCTAAATACATATTCTCGATGTTGTTGCAAACAGGTTGAAATTCTATTTAACATTAAATTCAATAACTTGTATAGACGTGTTTCGAAGCGTAAGTAATTTAGTGCAAGTGATAGTAATAATCGCTCTATTGTCTACTGAGCGAAGCATTTGTCAGTGACCTAAGTGTCATATTAAATCAGACTGGCTGCCGAACGCTTTGTCCATCGCTGTCCTGAGTGGCTTCTGAACTGAGCCCGAGTTAAGTATTGTAGTGAATAATATTGTTGCAGTTCAAAATTATAAGTTGTGTAGTGTGGTTTAATTTTTTAAAAATAAAATAATATTAATAATGGGCTTGGATTTGCAAACGTTTGGCAAGAGTTTGGGTGAGTAAAGTATGGTATTTGGTAGAGGTGGTTATTTTTATTACCGCCCAAAAATCCTTATAATTGCGATACACCCGCTCCCTCTCTCCCTCCCTCTTTATTTCTCCTCTCCCTTTCCTCTCATGCCGGAGACAATGAATGTTATAACTTTGAGGTTTTTACGTGGTAGAGCCATGCTGCAGCTATATTATGGTTGTAGCACGAATGGGTCGGCTCGACCGGGGAAGGACCACGCTCTCACAGAATACCAGCGTAAAAAAAGCAGCTTAACGCTGCTGTGTTTCGTTTGGTGAGTGTAGAGAACCGGAGACCCTTTTTACTGGAAACGGGGCATTCCATCTTAGTCCTCACGGGTGACAGCGCATATGCATTTTGATTCTTAATCGAAGATAGATGTAGATGTCTATGGGCCACAGCAACCACTTACCATCAGGTGGACTGTGTGCTCGTTTGTCGCCCTTATCCTATAAAAAAAAAGAGGTTAGGTCTATGGTCTATATATATTTATTTTCTTTTCAATTTTTTTCGAGAATGATGTGTTACCTTTTCATGCGAGTGGTGCCAATTGATAGAGGACCGTCTCCTCTCCACCCTCCCTTCCCCTCCCCATTATGCAATAGGATTCTAAATGTTCCCCTCCTCCTGACCGAATTTCGGTAACGGCGGCCAGCCTCAACGGTAACTAGCCAACCGTGGAGGACATGATTATAGTATCCAAATGTATGCAAGCAAAGGTGCATTCTCTATTGTCTCACTCTCAAAGTCCGATGGGTTAAATTCGACTCAGATGGAGAAATTTTAGGCGAAAGACCAACAGTTTTAAGTGATTTCCAAGACACGGCGGTGAAATACCTGTAACTTCCTAACTCCGGGCCGCTACTGAGAATTTCCCTGACAGAAAATTCCAATAATCGATTTTGGCCTAACTCAGGGTTCAGACTAACGGAGATTGAGTTTTAAAATTGAAGCGATAAACGGGTTTACAGTTCACCTGTTGGTAATACTTTACGCCGTAAACTGGGTAGTCCACGTATGCAGCTGTCTTCTCCTTCTGCGAAATTTTGAGGACAGATGAAGTGAGTAAGCTGCTTTTGTTATATTTACCTCTGTAATTTAATGCTTCGGTTAAGATATTGGTTTTATAATACCGGTTTAAAAGCACCAAAATTTTTGTTGTAGTTTAGATTTTATTTGTATTATCACTTCGATGCATGCATACTGTCATTTTTAACACGTACCAATAACTTAGCCTGATCAAGATTACCAGGATAAAATAAAATAATCAGTTCAGGATTGATGCCTGTTGCTATTACCGTTAGTACAATTTTGTGTCTGTCACTAAAAGCTGGAATTCATTTGGCTCGTGTAACGGTAAATTCAGGTGCCTAACGGTTTTCATATATGTTTCAGTTTCGTTTCTGGTTCTCTTAAGAAACCCTCTAAATACCAGTTCATAAGTACCAGTTACTTGTATTTTTAAATTTTTTTTCTGATCGTCAAACGTTCACATTATTATTTGATATTTTATCTACGAGGGCTCGGTAGCACAGTGGTTTAGCGCTTGGGTGCGAATGTACAGGGTCGCGGGTTTGGCACGGAACTAGTATTTGTATTTTGTATCTATATTATAAAACAACAAGTATTTATAAATGAAGTATCTGGCCCACAAATAATTATTTCGGATACGAATTTTTGTTGGTGTGCAATTTAATTTGTATGTAAAATACTTCAACGACACAGGTTATAATGATTTTTAACCAGAAGTGCGGCATAAAATATAGCATAAAAGTTTAATTTTATAATAAATTAATGTTACAATCCTTATTTTTAGACACATAAAGCCTACATTTATGTGTAATAAATCAAAAGAATATCTTCTTTCGGGTAAATTTGCTTAGTAATAACGCTATCCACTTTATTCTATAAGTAAAGTTATTTTAACCAACAAAATTGATTGGCTCTCAAGGTGGTACGTGAAATAGACGCTAGGTGGTCTAAACAAGATTTTATCTTCTTCTTTTTTTTAATAAAAAACGTAACCTCAAAACTAGGATTTTCTCTTGTATCGTGGGGGCAGTTTACAATTATAAATTGCACGAGGACAAACATTTTATCTTAATGTCTCGTAGGCTAAACACTATAGATATATAATATGATTGTCTCCTTTTTTTGTGTCTTTTTAGTTTCATCGAATTTCATATTTCAAATCACAACGACTTTAAAGAAATTTTCACTTCAAAAAAATTTTTAGCGTCTTGACTCTACAATAGTCAAATGCTGCATGGCTTAAACTTGTCTAAAATGTCGCTTTATTGTTTTTTATATAGGATCGGAATGGACACCCGATCGGTATCCGACCACGAATCTGAGGAAGAGGGTGACTACACGGTCTACGAATGCCCTGGATTCGCCACAGTAAGTACTCTTTATACCAATAATTATACATTTTAACAAAATGTCGAAATTGTAGCACGACACGAAATGTGAGGATCTATTTTTGTACACTTCCGAGTGGAAATAGAAATACCGCAATCACAATTTTGTTTAAACAGTTACATTGTATGTATACGCTATTACAACAAGGTCCCGGAAAGTGTACAGGTTCTCTCTATTACCAAGTTTAAATGTTTTATTAAGCTGAAACTGTATAAAAAGGGTTATTATAGTATAAATGAATACATGGTTGATAATAACCCCTGGGAATGAGGTGGTCGCTTCCAAGCAGTTTCTAAAATAAATTTTGTAAATAGTTCGTAATCATTTATATTGTAAAATTTATTTTAAAATAAAGTCCCGCTGGGTTTCTTGCTGGTTCTTCCCAGGACAGAGGGTTTTTTTCGAACCAGTGGTAAAGTAAAAAATGACTTTCAATAAGAATTACACATGTAATTTGTAAAATTTATCCTCTACTTCTCTAAATTATATGGAACCACCCTGTGAACTATTAACTGTTTATTAAATATGAATCAAACCATTCATACATAAAAAAAAAACGTACAGTCGTACGAATTATGAACCTCCACCTTTTTCGACGCTAAAAATTGTTGAGGAAAGATGACTTAAGTATTAGGCAGATAAGAAATCCTACCAGCCTACCATTTTGTTTATTATTATAGTCATGAAAATGATGTTAAATTTAATGCTGATTTAAAGACTGAATATTTTTGAAGTTACACTTCTTTTGGGGCGTTCGGGAAAAATAATGAGAGTGAATTTTTACGATGCACGCGCACACCGACACCTAAAAACGACACCACGAAGCTGTTACGATGCGCGCGCACACTTACACCTAAAAGAGACAAATTCAGTGGGTGATTGTCTTTCAAGTTTTTTCCTTCGTATACTTTTTTATAAGTTCATTAATAACCTCATCATCTTTCGCATCCCCCACACGTTCCATTCATCTTTGCTTAGTCTTCTATTCTCTTATATCCATCCTCTTTCACATCCAACACTCTTCCTGTTTTTTTTCTCCCCGAATATATCTTTACCACAATAACCTACCCTTCGTCAACTTTTCTATGTCACTTTCAACATTTTTATTAGATACTTTTTAGCTAATATAAAATTTCTTTGTGCAGACTGGCAATATGGAAGTGCAGAACCCAATATTCGACGAAGGCGCTACCCAGCTGCGCACTACTAAAGTTGTCATTGAGCCGAAAGTTTAAATTAATGTCAATAATTCAATAATAAAAATAATATTCACAATAACTCTCCCTTTCCCCCCAACCCTCGGCCGTTAGGTCTTCCCTGTAGCAGGCTTCTATCTGGTTGGCGTTTTATTTATTTACGTATGGATTATGTATTTATTTCACTATATTAATATATTATGTATAACATTTAAAAAGTTAAATTTACAGCCTTAGGTTTAACTTCAAATGTCTTCGAAATATTTTTCGAATCTGAGCTACCGCGGCTCTCTATTATGTATGTTTATGTATATTTATCATTAAAACCCAACCAGATGGGAAAACTGTTAAATACCCCTTGATGTATAACAATAAAGTTCTTAGTAACATTGACTTAGTAATATTGACTTCAATGAAACTGTTAGTATTCCAAATAGTATTTAAACGTCCATTATCATATCTTCTAGATATAGCTCTAAGGATGCTGTTACTGCTGTTTCGTAAGCGTTGCAAGAGTAAGATTTCCTTCCGGATAATCACTTAGAAAACGATAGTTTGCACTTGTGCAGACATATTGGACGCTCTGCAATGCCATGGCAGCCGCAACAACATCCTGAAAGCGTTTTTATAATGTTATGTACACGCAGAGTATTCTAAGCTCTTAAAATTTTATTTATACGCGTAATATATATTTGTGTACGTATTTTTTTTACTGGCCACAAAATCAGATTCCTCTATGTTTTCTCTTCTACCTCTAAAGTTAATAAGTAGCGTCAAGCCCATTCCATGCGGCCATAATCTATCGTCTAAAAACATATCTAATTTGAATTTAGGATCAAAGGCTTTGTATGCATTGTAATTTTTTGTTTTTTTCACATTTATCTTTACTAAAGAAGCGTTCTGTCCTGTCTTTTTGTGAATATAGTTAATAATATCCTGTTCAAATGCGGTGTCTTCACACACGTTTAAAATAAATAAGGCGGTTTTAGCTTTGCCGCCTTAAATTTTTCATTATTATTGGGATTACATGGCCTACAGTAGTTAACATTCAGTTGAGCTATATTTTCGTTTGTCACTTTGACTTTATAAAGGAATTATCGCTTATCTGTTTGGTCTGAATATGTCGCTAGAATTACGAAATTCTTAGTTCGAATCCTAATTTACTGTTAATGACTATTATATAATATTTATTGGTGTAAAGTATAGTATATATTGAAATAATGGCTTCATATATTTATTTTTAAAGCCATATATATTTAAAAATTTATTATATTATAGACCAAACTGTGGTAAATCTATTTAACATTTAAGATATTTCAAACTATTTTCTAAAATAAATACATGAATTAAATTTAATATAAAGTTATATATGTATACGGGTTTAACCTGGTTATATGGTATTTTTGGAATGTTTTAGTAGATGGACAATTGATGCATGCTTTAAATTATTTAGAAATTATCTCTATGTGTATACTTTTAAGAATAATAATAGTAATAATATCCTTTCCCCCTAACCTTCGACCGTTTCCTCGTCCCTGCCGAGGGCTTCCATCTGGTTGGGATTATATTTATTTATGTATTATTTATTTATGTTAGTATATTAAACACCTATATATGTTTATTCAGCTCAACTAAATAAGAATACTCTATAAATACCCTAAATAATAATAATAAGGCGTAGGGAAGTGACGACTCCATCGCCCGCTGACGTAACAGTTAAGTGACAAAACTGCTACGTCGGCGTAGTCAGTCAGCGCCTTGCCTAGATGTGTGAGCGCCGTGCCTCGGCAGAATTGAGGGTGCTAATTTGGGCCCGTTTGTGCTTACGGCTAAACCATGAAACGGTGCCGGGCCTGGACGTCTCCCGTTAATTGACGCCCATTTTATGGATGATGTCGCCCCGGCGAACCCCAGGCAGCGGCGCGTCTGGAGCTGGCGCTGGACGTGACAACATGCGGGCCGCCTAATGATGATTCCCCCTAACCCTCGGCCGTTTGGTCTCCCCTGCCGAGGACTTCCATCTGGTTGAGATTTTATTCATTTATGTTTTATTCATTTATTTATGTTAGTATATCAAATATATATTTGTTTATTTATTATTTCCTTTAACATATTTATTTAGCCCAACCAGATCAAACACTCTATGAATACACTAAAATATTGATGTGAAGCACTATGTCCAATTAATAAATGTTATTGAGCCATTATGTGTCTTTATTATTACCCCTAATCAATATTGTCATCATTATCATCATCATTATAGGCCTTCACAAGTCAGCAGTCAGCAAGATTGACCCCGGTTTTGCTCGCGTGCAAATTACCCCAAAAAAAAAATCAACCGGACTAACCTGCTTTCTAAGGTGATGCAGTGTGATCCTTGAGCTGCCTCCGGCTGGAGGATATCTGCTATCCTTGTAATCTTCTTCACAATGGTGGTTACAAATCGCAAATATGTTCGAATGTACCCAATACAACCGAATGTTCTGCATATTAGCACAAAATTATTCGAATAACCATTTACGAGTATACATTTAATTATGGGCGTGTACGTTAAAATTTTTGAATTAGAACATGGCGTCCAATGGCGCTGCCGAACCATACGACAGTCTTGAGATTCACACACAGGATGTTACTAGTGCAGTGCCCATAGAAGAAATAACGCAATGCACGATCCTGTGTTTCTGCATCGCTCACCAGCAAGTGGTGGCTGCACTACCCTTCGCTTTCCGGTACGGATATTCCTATTCACATAAAGTTACAGCTTTTATAAATTCAACTGCTGTGCAAAGTCCCTCTCATTTCTGAGAGATTTCAGTGTATGTTGATGGACTTGAAATATTCATATTTTCAGACAGGGGTCAAACGAGCATGCCGTTCATCTGATGGTAAGTGATGCATGAACACCGCCCATGAACAACTGCAACACCAGAGGAATTGCAAGTGCATTGCCGACGATCAAGGGAGGAGTATTCGTGTTATTTTCGAATATTATTCCCGACGTGTCGGGACGTGTACGCATAGGAGTCTGTCCGGATTTAATGATTTCTTATATATTTTTATACAATAAGGGTGAAAAACGAGCACACAGTCCACCTGATGGTAAGTGGGTGCTGTGGCCCATAGACATATACCTATATTTATTTTGACTTAAGAATCAAAATGCAGATGCGTTGTCAGACCTGAGGACTAAGATGTAATGCCTCGTATCCAGTAAAATGGGTATACGGTTCTCTATATTCATCATACGAAACACAGCAGCGTTATGCTACTATTTTACGCTGATATTCAGTGAGAGGGTGGTCCTTCCCCGTTCTAGCCGACACATATGCGCATGGCTCTACAACGTCTTTCGCGTCTATTTACGCGAACACTACAGTGAGACTTTGCTATGCAGCCGGGGGCACTTGAAATGTCGGGAATTAAAAATAAGTAAAAATTTAATGCGATAAAATCCAGAAAAATAGTTTTATTCCATTTTGATTTGTAAAGCCGGCTAAACATGTAGGCCATAGCTGGCCGAGTGAAAGCGAGTACCAACTTATATACAGCATATTTGTCTAGCTTTGCCATTGCTCGTTGTCGCTCGCCTAGCTGGGTGAGTCCTGCACTCGTTCAGCTAGGCGAGCGAGCGTCAACGTGTACGGTTAGTTTGGCGCGCCTTGCCACCTCTCGGGATGTCTCGCCACGACTCGTCACACTTCAGTAATGTATCGGTTTTTCTGCAAATATCAAAGGCGCTCGCCTGCACTCGGCCAGTTGCGTCCACATGTTAGTTGGCCAAGTCAGTATGTCCACTCTTTCAAACTTGACCAACATGTAGACTGTAGCTCTCGCCTTGTAACGATTCGCCTTTGCTTGCGTTGGATAAGGCCTGGCCAATGTATTGCCAACCTAAGACAAACCAACAAACAAAGTATACACACTTTTGTTTCGTTTGAAGGATGACAGAAGCAATGGCACATGATGTGACGCATTCCATCTTAGTGCTCAGGGATGAAAACGTATATTATATAGTTAAGTGCTGTAGCTATTTCCCGCTGCAGCCCATGGAGACCTGCAGGTGAATTGTTAGTTCGTGTGTTAAAATATTAAAAAAATAACAGATGTGTGATGATTAATGACATACTCTATGAAAATATAGCATTCTATGGGATCAACCTCAGCAATTTCGAACACAGGCACAAAGTAGTCAGCATTTTTGATTTCTACAGAATGCATTACGGAGAGTGGGTGCAGGAATTGCATGACTTAATTCCTTCCTCTTCTTTCCATCATCGGACAACCAGACGCTCAACCAGTCCCCACCCTTTCGATGGTGACTTGCCACCCATTCGAACCAAACGGTTTGTTTCTTCGTTCGTCATGTGTACAGCAAAGGAGTGGAATAAGTTACCAGAATCTGTGTTTACATCCGATTACAATGTGGGTGTCTTCAAGGCAAGAGTGCATAGGCTTTTCTTAAGTCAGTGCGCTTGACAATGATCGGTTTCATCACCGCTTACTATCAATTTAGATAATAGCCAAGCACTATTTTATTAAAAAAGGCTAAGATATTATTTTACAACCTTATACATCATGTATCTTTTAATAAATAAAATGTAGTTATAATAGTCAATGCCGTATGGTGTCATTTCGTCCCGTGGGTGCTGCAAGAAGCGACTATGGGAGGTAAATTTTCGTATATAACTAGTCTAGTTTGCGTCAGACCTAGAATACGCAGACTGGCGACTGTGAGCGGTGTCGAAAGTGATCGTGGCTGGTACTTACTGCGATTTTCAATCTAAATCCCAAATATGACGATTAAGGCGGATCCTCTCTTCTGCGGGAGTGGTCCATATCCGGCATTGGACTGTATATGACGAGAAAGAAAGAAGAAGAGGATTTTATATCTTTACTAGCGATCCGCCTCGGCTTTACATGGGTGATTTCTGGATCTCGACAACAACGCGTAGTGATCGAAGTTCGACCGTAATAAAAAACACTGGTTTGTACATTTAATAAGAAGGAAGACCGAAATTGTTGCCAGTGCAATACAGTTT